GGATTTCAGGTTCTGTTCCAAATTTCTAATGACTTTCCAATTCCCAATTTCTGTTCTTGGATTGATTTTTGCTTTCTTTCATAGCCGCTATGTTCACGAATCCAATATAAAAAATTTTAGTTTTCGTAATAACACCTTTGAATTCGATTATATTTCGATTGAGAATACTGTATTTTTGTAGAGCCAAATTAAAACTGATTATCTGCCTGAAACTGCCCTTGCACTCTTCCTTGATGTACCCAAAACACTTCTTTGAATAAAGCCAGAGATTCTGCTTCAAAGATCAAGCAATAATTATTTGATAGGATTATTATTATTATTTGTCCGTTGAAACAAACATCATTTTTTCAAATACAAGATATGCCTAAGTTCCTTCACTAAATGTGAATATCAGAATACTTCCTGAATCGTTAATATGTTTAACCATTCGTATACTTTTAAAGACTAGGATGCCTGTAGCATTCGAAGACGCTCTTTTAGCTTCTTCAATATCAAATGAATGTTGATGTAATCTGAAATTGTCCCGTTTATTAATAGTCATTAAAAAAAATTTCATTAATTACTTGTATATCAAGAAGAGAACACCAGACAGCACTCATAAAGTTCGTTTTAGACTCGCTCGATAAGTGCGAGTCATGCAAGAAGCTGCTCTTTGAATAGAAGATGCTTTTTCTTTAATTTTAATTGTTGAATTTACCCACCAATTATTACAGATATAGACCGCATTCTTGTTTTTGTTCTTTTGTACAATTTTTAAGCATCAGTTTTGAAAGTCCGGGCATTCAAAGAAAATGCTGATTATTTTATTTATTTTCCTTTTAGATAATGTGAATTAGGAAGTCATGTCAATCTTTCATCATCAAGAATTATGACCAAGTATTTTATCTGATGTTCTCTTTTCATTGCAATATCATTCTTTCTTATTTTAGATGCAGAATCTTCTTTTTTAGGTTCTTGCACTGATGTTTCCTTCAATAACATATTACTGTTTGAAGCCCAGCTTGAAAGGGAAGAAGAATTGTTTTTAGCTCTATTTTGAATTTCAATTTGCGTGTATGCATTGATCAGGACAAGTGTCAGAGTCGGGATAACTGATGTAACCTCACCGAACTGTAAAATATTTAGAATTTAGAGAAGGAATACAAGGCATAGATTAGATGTATCAGTGAATGCACTGAGTAGCGAAAAGCCTAGCGAAGACCCTGCCATTGTTTATTATTTAAAAAATCCCCCGCGTAAGCTTGAAAATTAATGCTTTCATTAGGGTTGAATGTCAATGCCGAGCCCAATACAATATTCCGGAATAAAAGTCCTGATGAACTTTGTACGTTATCCTTATCTTGAAGTAGGAAATAAATTTGATTGTTTATATCGCAATTAATTTTTATTTCTTTTATTTTTTAACAGGTCATTTATAACCTGAAAGCTATTTCCCTGATAACGAAAGCTTTTTAACATAAGTAGTGAAGAATGACGCAAGGACTTTCGCAGATTTTGAAACTTTCAGAATGTCAGGAAACAGCGGTAGAACTGTTCCTGCCCATATCTTCTCTTCTGCTTGAGTTTGTTCTGAAATTTAAAAAAAAAAAAAAAAAAAAAAATGTTATACCACGCGAAATGAAGACTAACAAATAAGTGGCCGCAAATTAAAGGTTAAATAAAGTAAGGAAAAGAAAGTAGGGAATTAAAAAAAAAAAAAAAAAAACAGAATAATTTTTAAAGTACGCAAAATGCGAATTAGAAGCAAATAATATCTGACATTTATTTGATACATTAAATTGGAAATAGATGCTAACGGCGTATTTAAATTTAAGATGATTACTGAGCGCGACGTTACGAGTTCCAATAGCGGCCTATTTTGTTTTGCATTCACCAATTTAACATGATGCCAAATGCTATAACAGCTGCCATGACACAGCCTTATACACACATGATGACTGAGATGCTAAGTTTGTAGGACCGAAGGAATATGTGAGACTGTATGACTGAAATTAAACTTAAAATTCTCAGTTTATTTTACAGCAGTCTCAATAGCGTTTAAATTATGTATCTATCATTTCTGATATCATAAGAGCAATAAGACAAAGGATATTTTTTTATTGATGCATTATTTTTTCTTGTAGTTTGTGAAGAAGAGATGTACTGTGACATTGAACGTGAAAAAAAAACAAGTTGTATCTGAACGTTAATAGGTTCGTCATCATATTCCCACAATTCTCGTCTGTGACGTCAGAGTTCGAGAGAGAAGCTACAGCTGAGATTTCGCTGGCTATGTTTACAAAAGTTAATGGTGGTAGTGGAGGAGTAGTGAGCATTGTGGTTGAGGTATTTAATGATACCTTGATGGATATCGTTTGAGACTTCGAAAACGAAATTAAAGTGGATTCAAAAAAGTCGCATTTGAAGCAAGCCTGGCATCGAGTGCAGATTCCGACGACGGTGGAGTATCTCCCCCACCCTTAAAAAAACAGCGCCTTTCTGCAGTCAGTACTAACATGCAAGCCAGTAATGGTTGTCACAATGGTGAATCAGCTTCAACTAGCAATGACTTGCAAAACGGTACTTGTACTTTCGAAGACAGTGTGGAAGTTAACGGAGACGTACACAAGACGATACCCTCAAAGATAAGATCCCAAACAGACCAGGATATAATACGTCTAATTGGTCAGCATCTTCGTGGGTTAGGTTTGAAGTACGTATATTCTGTAATATTCCTAACTTTTTCTGAAAAAAGGAAGAATGTACCTATTTAGTTTTGAAATGCTGTAACAGTATTTTACTATCCTCAATTTTATTAGTTTAATTTTTTCCGAAGTCCTGTAATATTTAGTCTTCCAATATTGATATAATACTCTCGCGTACTGTTTCCTGTATTCACTTTTAAAACATGCTTTTGCAGTAGTATAAATATTGTGGGTAAGGACTATCAGAAATCAAAGGTTAATTTTTATTAATTGTAAAAAATGTGTGTTGTCAAAAAGTAATATTTATCGTTTTAAGTAATGATGCATCTTAAAATAGTTAACTTTGTGAGATATTAATTTTTTTAGTTAACTTTTGTTTCTTATAAAAATTTAGTTTATAATGATATTTTTTTAAAAGTTTCTTTTCAAATAATGCAGCTAATTTTTAAAGTTTGACCTTGATGCATAAGAATGCAAGCCAGAAATGAAAATGGGAAAAAAATATCAAATAATGTAGAATAATAATTCTTATTGAATATTACTATTGAATTTGATTCATAGTAAAATGAAAAAATTCAATGTTTGAATGTGAAAGCGATGTGTGTGTGTGTGTCAGTGGTTAAAAGAATGTATCATCATGGTATGAAAATTAATCAGATGCACATTCAGAAGTTGCATTTGGGGCAGCAATACACAAAGAGGGTTCAAATGTCTTTATAACATAATGTACAAAGAATATTATGTATCTATTATATGTGGTAAAAATAAAAAGTGAAAAAAAATGAAATACTCTGCTTTATCCAATGTGGGCAGAATGTAAACAAAGTGAATCTCAATATGATACCTGTAGATGAAAAAAAATAATAAAATTTGTGTTCAGTAACAAGCCCCAGACATATAAACATCTAAATATGTTATGTACAAGAATTTATACTTTGAAAAAATTGTTTAAAAATTTTAAAAAATTATGAAAAAACAGATAATCCAGTAATGGTCATCAATCTTGGCAATTCAACTTTTAGTGAACTGTGTTTTGACCTAGTTTACATTTCAAGTTAAAAACTTAAAAACCCACAATTAAATACAAAAATAATTGAAAAGATTTGGCTGTCAAGGCATAATAATGAATGTCCATCTTATCCTGTATACTGTTCAGAAAATATTATACATGGTGTCAAATGATATTAAGAGATTTGAGAACATAGATGCTACATGACCGGTGGATGAGGTAATATGGATGCTACATGACCGGTGGATGAGATAATATGTAAGTACCAAATACTGTCCAAATTATGTTGATTGAAATTATATTATCACTTCTGGATGAGAAGCTGCTAAACTAAGAATTTGGATAAATAAAATGATAATAAAAGTAAAATTATAATCTGAAAAAAAATTCCATTAGCAATCTATGTATGACAAAATTCTTGACATTTATATAACAGCTTTTGAATACAAGTTTTGTACCTGCATGCCATAAAGAGGAAAATTGCAGTTTGTGTATGGGCATGAACAGACATATGTAATGTTATATGGAATTTTACTGTCATTAAGTAATGTAACATCTAAAAAGTATAACTGAATGGATAACAAAGATATTGAAGTTGAATTTATTGCTCAGAATTGTGAAAAATTAAAATATTAATTCTTTTTATGTGTATTAAAAGTTCATCAGAAATTTTAAACTGAAAATCCAGTATTTATTGCAAAATATTGGTATTCAGATTTGAAAGAGTCTGTTTTAATATTTGTATCTAGAAAACCAATGCTTTTCGTGTAAAGGCAAAGGATAAATTAATTCTGCTGTGTTTGTAAAATCATTATTTAAATTCAGAATTAAAATGTCATTAGTATAGTTATAAACTAAATTTTTATGAATATATGCATTACTTTGAAAATGCTGTTCCTGAAAAAGGAAGTAAATTAGCAGTAGTGTTAGTACCAGTTTTTATAATGTTATGTAAAAATATAATTATTCCATTTTATATGCATATAATTTTTTTTTTTTTTTTTTTTTTTTTTTTTTTTTGTCAGATTTTGGTAGTTTCTGTGGAGTCAGTATATTAGTAGCAGTATGTTATTTAAAGAGAAACTGAGAAAAAATAAATATTCTGTAAAATGAAATGTGTAATGCTGTATATGTGATTAAAAGTGCTTTGAAGTATCTTTACAATTATGGTGAATTATGCTTAAAACATTACAGATATTAAGTAGAATGACAAATGAGTTGTTGAATAATTTATTCATTTAATCTTTTGGTATTATTAGAAAATTTAATCATCAGTTCAGATGCAGTAGATTTCCATTAAAATACATGTATATATTAAAATTTTATTTAAATTAGTTTTGTGTTGATGGAATTTTGAATGAGAATGTTTTTCTTGAGGTAAATGAGTAGCAGCAAAAAGTATAAATTTCATATGGATCTGCCACAAAGCTAAGTGATTATATAGTTTGAATACAAAGATACATTATTCTTTTACATCACTTTTTGTTTGATAAGATGCAGGAAGTTTATTTCATTTGATATCGAATTGATGTAGATGTGTGTATAAAGATATAGTATATGTTAAGTTAAATTGTTGGGGGAAAAGGTTTGTTTTTAAGCAGTTGTTGTAAGTTTTTTTTTTTTTTTTTTTTCATTTAGAAAAGGAATTTTACCCTTTTATCTATCAGTTAATAAAAGATTCAAATTAAATTAAATCTTTTGAATCAAAGACTATTGCTTTAAAGAAAGGGCACGTACAGGAAGAATTAAATTCTGAGAATTTTTTAGAATACAAAACAGCGTGTATTCTACTCTTCTGGTATAACCATTAAATATTTCAGAATCTAAGTTCTAAAATGTTGTCATATGATTATACTTTTCTACATTATATTCAACACATTAGACTTGAACTATAACTTTCTAATAGTAAGTATTAATAAAAAGCAGATTAGTTAAGCGTTATATTTTCAAATTTTCACAGGACTAGTTTCGATGGTTTTTCCGAATCATCATCCTCATCTGCAAAAGCGCAAAGGAACAAGATAGAATACATATAATGATTAGATAAGATATGAAAGCCTGGACAAGAGATAAGCTACTGGCACCATCTGTTGATGAAACCAGAACTAAAACATAAATTCTTTAAAGGCTGAAGGCAAAGATTGATTGGAATTCGAGTCGTTAACCAGAACAGAAAGATTTTTTTTAATGTGAAATACCTCTAGGAAATCGAGTTCACCAATGAAAGATGTTTTTTGAATAATTTTGGCAGCAGAAAAATTGAAAGTGAGATTTTCGGACCAACAATGTTGGGCAACAGAAGACTTCTGTGTTTCTTTTTTTCTAACATATACCTCATGTTCCTTGACGTGAAATTTTAAGGCTCTCTTAGTTTGGCCAATGTAAATTAAACCACACTGGCAAGGAATCCTATAAATACCTCAGGAATTCGTATCTGGAATGGGATCCTTGAGTATGGAACTTGGAATTTTATTGATGGGAGAATAAATGATCCGAAAATTAAATTTCTACAAAATACATGCAACTTTATAGCTAATTGATGGAAAGAAGGAAATGACAAAAGAATTTTTATAATCTCCTAAAACAAGAGTGTGCATTTTGGTGTGTTGAGATGAGCTCACCTTTCATAGTTTCTAAATCAGTAAATTTCATCTTGCAGTGACCGCATTAAGTTTTGTTCAGAATCAAAATAAAGAAAGATAGAAAAGGAAATAGACTTCCAAAGACAGATTTTAGACTTCCTTACAGGAGTTTTATTATTTAAATTTGAGGGTAAAATTAAGGCTGTATACTTTATTTGGAAAAATAATTTCTGGTCATCAATGTATGACAGATGGGCTATGTGATAGTGATAGGTGTTGGCAGAAAAGTTTAATTTTGCCATAGATAGTGATGAGTATATGAGCAGAAAAGTTTTAGTTCTGTCCAGTCATTTTTAATATTGTAATGTTATGTTTTTAACATTACCTCATTATTTTGAAATTAGTTTATGTGTGAAATGGCACAATATGTAAAGTTGATAAAATCATTTTCAAAAACACTGGAATTCGTAATTGTAGTGCACAAGAAGTAAGGATTTGAGTTTAAATTCAAAAAATGATCTTCAGTAAATTGATATTGGGTTTTGCTTCTAATGAAAGTTATTCCTTGTGCATGTAAACAACATAGATTTGAAGTTTATGGTAGCATATATTTAATGGAAGAATCATTTCCCCTCCCTATTAGTAAGTCGCACCATTTCCTTCATTGACTATTTAAACAAAAATATGCCAAACACGTTTTCTAGTAAAAAGAACCAAGTTATATATATATATATAAAGATGTCTAAACTCTGAGACTTAAGACAACAATATTGTGAAAAACACCTTCTGGAAATCTGAGAACGAAATTTTAAGAAGCATATTGGAAAGTTTAAGAAGGTTCATTTTTGTAAATTGTATTAATTTGACAGTTACCTTTAAAAATGAAATCTTGCTGTTGTCTAATGAAAGTAAAAAGGAAAAAATTTGTTCAAAGATTAAATTCTGCATACTTAAAATTAATATCATACTTACAAAGATTGTTTTAGAGGTACTGGATAGCAGTTGATGAAGTGGATAGATTATATACAAAAGCTGTGGAGTCTTTGAAAGCTTTAGCCTAGTTTTAATCAAATAGAATTTTGTATTTAATAGTGCACTAAATAGAATTCATTGCAATGTTCTGTGCTATACTGAATATAATTTTATCTTAACATTCAGAACCAATTAATAACTTTTTTTAAAAAAAAAGAGCTTTAATTTTTTATCATGATCTTTTAAAAAATATTGTTAAAAATAGATGGGAAAAATTTAAATTTAAAAATTCAGTCTAATTACTAATAGCAGCTGTTAAAAATTTGTTTTATTAATTGTGCAAATAGAATGTATGCTAATAAAATCCGTACCATAAGGTAAGTATCAATGTGTTAAAAAGTAAATGTCAAAATTTATTACATTGATAAAACAGTTGTCTATGATA